TCTGTTGCCATGAAGGTTGGATGTTGGATTGTATGTGTAGAGGGGAGTGAGAGCTTTTCGATGGTATGGAGGTCCGATTGTTTAGGCGGTGGTTGGCCAAGTTTTTTGGCTTTAAAGGTGGTAGCCGACATTTGGATTTTTTGGCTTGGTGATAGTTTTTTCAAATATGGACTCATTTGCACTTTTTAAAAAGTTTAAGAATAAGATTGCAATTTGTTCCTAATTTTTCTTCTCTTTTATTTAAAAAGAAGAGTATTTTAGTCAAAAGGACGTTCAATGCTAGGAAACGTTGAAATAAGGGCGAAAATGTAAAAAAAATGGAACGTGTGGACGTTTTCCACAATAGAGGTCAAACGTACGGTCGTTTTGCGCTATTAAGCCATTTTTGAAACGCCTCACATATAGGTGTATGCATTTGATAATGTAATCAACTCATTTTGTTGACAGCATTTGCGCGCTTAAACGTTAAAATGTGTAATCATTTGTATTAAAAAATGTGTCCAAATCAGCATAACAAAGTCTAATCCATTTTTATAACTTAAAAAAAGGCAAATTGAATCCAACAAACATCAAATTAACCCAAATCACCAAGTCCATGAACTATATATAGCAATTTGTAGAGTTTTGACATTTAGAAAAATCAAAATCAAAATAAATATTTTGTAGAGTTCCAAACTAACTACGTCGATATTGAATCTCCTTCTTCTTTGATCTTCATCTAGTTTCATCGTTGAGATCTTCATCAAATTATAGAAATTTGAAGGTACATTTTTCATTTTTGTATTGCTCACCAATCAGAGGGTACATTTCCCATAATGGTGTCCAGGGGCCCTCCCAATATGAGGCCTCCATGTGTCCATTAAGGATGCCATTATGTTATGGGCAATGTACTCAGCATAACCTCCAATTAGAAATTTAAAGGTCCTTTTCCTCTAATTTTTAATTTTAGGAAAAAGAAATATTTAATTTCGTTCATCTTTAGGTTATAATGATTTTGAAGGCTTTAATTTGTTATCAAATTTTATTCTTAGTTCAATTTACTACGAGCCAATGGAGCAAAACAATTCTTTCATAGTATCTAATTCTATTTCTGAAGATAATGAGTTCGAAAAAAAGTTTCAAGAATGTTCGATAGGAAACTACATTTGTTGAAGATGTTAGTAAACCTAATGATGTTAGATGCTAGTAATGCACAATATTGAATTATTGACGATTGTGATGATGATGAAAAGTTGATAATAATATCTTCACATCTATAGGAAGTAATAGAAATTCTCGAATTGAAATAAGAGAGCCCGATGAAAATAAGATTATCCTGGAATATGATTTGGATGAAGAAGAAGAGATTGAAATTAGAATACGATAAAAGAGCTAGACAAGATTTAATGTTTTTTTTAAAACCGGGGTTCATGTCCAATCTAATTGTAGGATTGATTATTAAGTAATTGTAGTTTTCATGATTTTAAGCAATATATTTTCCT